AGTGTTTATCTCAACTCCTAAGTTAAAATTGCTTTGATGCATTTTTAGCTACTGAATTCTTTTGAGCAAAGAGAAAGGTTTTCCTTTGAGTGAAATGATTGTCAGTGCTGTAATGTGTTTCCCTGGAGTAGTCTCCACTGTTGAATCCAGTAGGTGAATGAAGACAGTTTGCTGGGCGTGCGCGATGGTGGTGGGGGTCCTCAGGAAAGTCTTCAGGAAACTTGAGGAAAGGGGCTCTCATCTGGGGATGAGAGACCCTGAGGAGCAGAGGGGGTGCTGTGGGGAAAACGGGAGCCCATGCCTGTAGCCAGCACACCACCCACACCCAAGTGCTGTCCCAGCTTCCAGGTCCTCCTGCTGTGCCTGGACTGGGTGTTTTGTTTGAAGACAATGGTGTTTGTTCACAGTAGACTTTAGAACAGAGCTGATGCTCAGCCCTTCTGTGACCTGTGCTCCTGGGACCCTGCTACCTTGTGGCCGTGCCTCCCGTTCTTCTTGCCCACCCCAGTCCCAGTGCCTGTCGTGCCATCACAGCCCCGGTGCCCTCTGTGCTGCCTCCTGCCCCAGTGCCCAGGCCGGCAGTCCTGTCTTTCCCCAGGCCTCCTGCCCTCCCCAGGCAGTCTCAGGCCTCCTCTTCCTCCACTCCCCCRGCCCAGGCCCAGGCCCGYGCCTGCGGCCCTCTKTTCTCTCAGGCAGCCCCTGTAAGCTCCCCACGCATCAGACCTGCGCTTGTTCCCTGCCTTCTTCCCTTGCTCTCTGTAGAGGCTGTGCTCCTAGAAAAGCTTGTCGTCTCCTCCAGGCCACTAGATGCCACTGCCTGCACCTTCTCAGAGCCACCACTCTGTCCTTTCCCCTCGCCCCTGGATTCTCATCCACATGCAGACATCTGCCTCATCTTCCCAAGGGTCTTTTTTGACCCCACATCTCCTGACACCCCCCTTTTGTCCTCTACTACCAAGGTTCGTGGGGGGACCTTCTGCCCGCATCTGTGCTCGCTTCTCCCTGTTCTCTCTTGCACTCAGTCTGGCCAGCGTTTTGCCTCCCTGAGCTGAACTGCTGCTGTTGTTGAGTCGTGGGCACTGTTGTCCTCCACTTCAGCACCTTGTTGTCGGTGAGAGTTCAGATGGCTTGACATGCCAGTGCTGTGCGTGACCGTGATCATCTCCTGGGACAATCCCAGTGAGGTTATAATGGCTTTTTATGTTAGCCTGTCCAGGCCTTGGCCCTGAATGTTGTCCACATCTGGTGCCTGGGTGATTGGCGTGGAATGACGTTCATGCTGGCCTCCCTTAGCRTAGCACCTCACTACAGGAACCCAGTGTGGGGATCAAAGCTTCTTGTGGCTCTGCTACTCGCGCTGCTCCCTGCGTCTGGCAGGTGTCAGGGGGTGTGCTTGTTTTGAGAACTCTCTCCTAGTGGCTGTCCTGTTGCAGAGCTCAGGTCAGACCCTCTCCTTCCGTGGGACCTGCAGCTGTGTGCACGCCCTTCCTCACCTCCCGCCCAGCTGCAGGCTGCTCCTGCATGAGAGCTCTGGCCTAGGCCTTCGTAGTCTGGCCCACTCCAGTTCAAGGCCCTCAGTGTATAGAGCAGGCAGCTCCTGGTGCCCCCAAGGCTCAGCCTCCTGCCTGTGTYCAGGGCCTCACCAGCAAGCCCTCCCACTGTCCCCACACCCTGCCCATGGCCCAGCAGCAGGGCTCTTCCTGCTTTCCTGAGGGAGGTTCTCACTGGCCAGGTGGCTGGTCCAGACTGGTGCTGGTCCAGAGGGAGAGGTGCTCAGGGACCTGGCACCTCTCCCTCTGCGTGCCCTCCCCACAGGTACTTGCCAGCCTGTTGCCTGTCCTGTAGAGTGCCCTCAGGAGTGGGCAGCCCAGTGGCTGGTGTAGGCTGGATGTGACGCCTCCTTGAGTGAATTGTGGCTTCCTGCCAAGAAGGAGGTGGAACTCACGCTGTGACTGACAAACCTGGACTGTACACAGTAGTGACCAGGCAAGATTTAGAGAGGCAAACTGGCCATATGCCAGCCAGGCCCCAGGTAAGATGAAGTCCCTCTAGAACTAGAAGCAGCTAGAAACCTGTGTGGGCAGCAGGAGGTGGTGACTCCACAAGGCCCCACAGGCAGTGCTGGCAGGCACCTTGGACCCTCGGTCAGGATGGCAGGGTTGAAGGCTCTGTGGGATTGGAGCTTAATGGGGGCGCTCTCGTGCGTGCGCGCGTGTGTGTTGCTGTGGACTGAACCCAGTGCCTTGTGCMTGCGAGGCAAGCACTCTTCCAACTGACCTGTATCCCCAGACCCCGAGGCTTGCTTTTTGAAGTTGGGTTTAGATGAGGTTTCCTCAGGGAAGGTCACTTGGCACTGTAGACACCCTTGGGATTTCTAGGGAGAGTGGACAGCCACATTGTCCCATGGTTCTGTGACAGAAACACGTCACCATAGAACATTTAGTTTGGACTAAGGCCTGGGAAATTGTGGAGGACAGCAACCACAGAACACTATGCTGTGTCCCTGAGGGTCACTTTGAAACCCTCACCCCAGGTGATAGTGTTGGCAGGGGGGGCTTTTGGAGTGATGAGGCCTGAGGGTGGAGTCATCCTGAGGGGTTAGTGCCTGGTGGAAGAGACCCCCTGTGAGAAGTTGGCAGTCAGGCCTTCGCCAGACACTTGATCTGCCAGTGCTAGGGCCTCAGACTTCAGCCTCCAGAACTGTGAGAAGCGCATGTCTTGTTTCTTGGCCACCCACTCGCTGGTAAGTTATTTTTTCATGTTTCATAGTAGTTGAAAGTGGCTAAGACAACCAGGCAGATGAGGGGTGCTAGCAGATGAGGCCTCATCAGGGCGATCCTGCAGCCACACTGCATGGAGCTCGAGGGCGGATCATGTGAGGTGCTCCACAGGGTTACCTCCTTAGAGAGGTGCAGTTGCTCCATCTGAAGTGGGTGGAGAGTCTGGCAAAAACTGCCAAAGTCAGTCTGCACGTGATCGTTGAAGATAGACGTTATATACCTGAACAGACAGGAAGGCGTCCAGCAGAAACAGAAAAGGAAGAAATGGCAGAAAACCAAGTTGAATTCTAGGAAATGAAAAGGAYGGTAGCCGGGATGACGGACTCTGGTCTGGACACAGTCAAAGGCAGGATTCCTGAGTGAGCGGTAACTTCACAGAATCGACCCAGACTGCAGCACCAGGGGACATAGTGATAAAATAAACATTCAAGGTCTTGAATTCAGGCAGGCCCAGAACCAGCTCTGCCTTGGACGTGAGTCATGTGAGTAATAATAATAATTGCCTTTTGGCTTAAGCTAGTCACAGGCCACTTTTCTTTCACTTGCCTCCAAAAGAATCTATTTTTCGTGCAAGACCCTGTTGAGGAGAGTCGGTGCCCTTCTTGGTGGTGGGCTCCTGATGGTGAGCTGGAGGAGCTGCCAGTCAGAGGGCTTCCCACAGGACAGCATTGGCATCTACAGGAGAGATCCCACGGAGGGGCGCACTTTGTGGGCACATGGAGTGATGGTGAATGCTTCCCATGCGTGGGCCTCTGAAGAGTCTTGCTGCCTGGCCAGGTCTGTGCTAGGCTGTAAGGCACAGAGGAAGCGGGACCAGCAGTGTTGGCTGCCAGAATCTGGAGGAGCCTTATCTCTGAGCTGGGAGGGGGAAGCTCTCGTTCTGCTCCTCCTGAAGTAGTATTCGAGGCATAACACGTAAATCTTCCTCTTTCCCATGTTGACGGTGGCAGTGCTGCATGTCTSTGTCCCTCAGGAAGAGGGTTTTAGCTCTCACTGTGGCTCCAACAGGCATCTGTTGCCAGCAGGTAGAAGCAGACTCCCAGGGGTGGCAGGTTCCTGTGGGAGGCTGAGCTGGAGTGGGAGGGTCCCGGGAGTGCCCTGGAGCACCGCCTGCTTACTGACTTCCAGGACCACCCCCTCAGGCTCTTCCCACTGTGAGCAGCGGAGGCACTGAGTGTTGGGCTCATCCCAGAGACACTATAAGTGACTTGACTGAGTTTCAGCTGTTTTGCCCCACGTGATGACTGGCAGGAGAGTGTGAATCCCACTCTCTGGGCTCAGCTTGTCTGCAGCATCCATGGAGTGCCCGGTGTGGCAGTGCAGAGCCAGCCCAGATCAGTGCTGGGCAGATGCTCAGGGGCACYTGACCCCAAGCCACATCTTCAGCCCTATTTTATATTTTTATTAAGAGATAGGGTCTTGGGGCTGGGGTTGTGGCTCAGCGGTAGAGCKCTCGCCTCGCCCGTGCTAGACCYKGGKTYSRWT